ACTTTAAAAAGGATCGCAAGGTGACTCGGAATTGGCTGGGACACATGTTTAATCTTGCACAGTATATCAGAGTGGTTAGAACTTTTACTTTCTGACAATGAGATCCGGGTTCGAATCTCACCTTAGTCGATCCGTCAAGAAGGTGACTTCTTGATGTTATCGGTTTGGGGAGAAGGTTCCGGCGTGCGGCATCGATAGAAAGTGCTTGAAAACCATAGCACTGGTTGACCCAAGCCTTGTGAATGGAATTGTTTAGAGGGAATTGTTCGCTGATGGTTTTGCTAGCACAAAGTTCTTTATGACTGAAAAAGTAAATAAAAAATCAGATTGATCGTACTGGTCTTGTTTAAACTGTTTATAACGCCAGCGGTGTGTGGGACAAACACAAATGTACCTGAGCAGGCGTCTGCAGCAGGGATTGACAAGACGTCCCAGCAGATAGCCATACTGGGAAACGATCGCCTAGCCATTATATTAAGCATGCATACTTACGATTAACGTGCTTGTAGCAGAAGTTATTGTTTACATTTTCGTTTTTTTTAGTAGGTCCTCCATATTGTCTTACTCCAACAAATATGTCATGCTCACCACTGTCAAACCTGACAATGATTGTAACACTTTATAGAGTTATCATTACTTTATTGGTAATTATGTAAGAGTGACACTCATCGATCACTTCGTCAAACATCGTGAGTCCCCGGAACAAGAGATTTTCGTTACATATCAGGTGGTATGGCAGGGGGTAGAGTTGTGGAATCAAACGCCATATAAACAGCCCCAGACGAAATACTAAAATCAATAATGTCATTCACGTACTGGAGTAATGGATAGCGACTCGGATTGAGGAATCGGGGAGCCGAGTTCGAATTCCACTCGAATCCATTACATTCACTTATGTGCTAATACCCTTGAGAAAGGTATGAATCCTCTTCTTCTCTCCCCAGCTATGGGTAAATAACAGGGAAGACTGGGTTCTATAGCCTTGGATGGCAACTGGTCTACCGCAGAAAGAAATGGCAACTTACAGCGGGAAAAATCTGCCTCGTCAGTCATGTATCGAAATATACATGGTCGCATAAGCGTGTATCACGCATGGCACATGACTGACTGATATAGAAATGAGAAAGTGCATGCTTTCAGTATTTCCAGGCGTCGTAATTTCTTTTTATATATTTTTTCTTTATTTTATTTCCTAGTTTAAAATTTAATGCTATAAAAAATGTGTCAGCGGTTAAACAGCATGCAAATAAACTTTGTTGGATGTGCAGTGTGACATAATGGATAACGGCTCGGAGAGCAGAGTTCGAATTCCAGTCGAGATTGTTACATTCAGTTACGCGCGAAGACCCCTTTTCTCGTGGATATCTCTGTGTAAGTGAATCTAACGATCAAGACTGGAACTCGAACTCGGCACTTCGCGCCGTTATTCATTATACCACACCGCACAACGAAAAAAGTTTATTTGCATACTGTTTAACCATTGATACATTTTTATATCCCTCTCCTCCCCCGCAACTATGGGTTGAATAGTACATAAGGATCATTATAGCCTTAGTTGTCAACAAATCTACCACAAAAAAGAAATGGCTGCCTATTGAGGGAAATTTTCTGTCTAGTAAGTTATGAATCGAAAGAGACACGATCTCCCAAGCGTGTATTCTGTATTACAATTGACTTAAATAGCCTTTTAAAAAATGAATGTCTTATTAGATCATGTGCCTTATTTATCTTGCTTTTGAATTGAGCAAAATTTGGCACAAGACTGAACATTTGAGAATCGATCTTGCAGAACTAGAACGTTAAACACAACACTAAGAATCAGTGAAGAAGGTGCACATCTTTATTGTTTACCAAAATGGCTGTCAGATGTTATGGAAGTGTGGTTTGACTAAATATTCACTCCCAAATTCGTTTCTCTGTCAAATATGTTATCATACTAGCGATAACACATTAGTAAAGCATTGTTTTTTTTTTAAATTTAATAATAACATTTAAGGTATGATCAAAGGCAATACGTATAAAAGAAGAATTTTGAAATATTTTTAATAAAAAATTCGACTGATTCTTTGAAAATCTTTATAAAATTGTTCGCCTTAATATTTATTTTTTACATAGCAAGAGTCTTAAAATATAATTAAAATTTGTCAAACAAATTAGTAATTAGTTTTATTTGCTGTTTTAGATTTTCGGGTCAAGGGCATAATTTCTGTCCCAGAATTTAAAAAAAAGTTAACTTATTTTAATTCTCAGAGAAAATTGTCTTTTTAAAACATGAAAAATTCCCGATGAAAATGTATTTTATTGAAGTTTAATCAGACTGGAGCTATTTACATTAAAAAAAAGGTATTCCTCTAATTTTTATTATCCATTAAACCATTCTCACATCCAAGCTTACAGCGCTTGGCATTCCCTAGCGGTCGCCCATCTAGAAACTTACTAGGTTCTACGTTGCTTAACTTCGGCGATCGGACTGGTACCGGTGTTCCAACGTGCTATGGATGTTAAGCCAATTTTTAAAACTGAAGATTATTGATATTCGCTGAAACTTAAACTGACGCAAGTCCACAAGTGCGAGAGTCAACTTCACTATAGTAATAATGGCGTGAGAGACTAGCTTGCTGACCATTTTTCTTGGGTGACGCTCATAAAGATATTAATTATTTAATCGGCTTCACCCAGTTTTGAATATGTTCAAGTCCCATTTTTGAAAGTCTTAATATTTATGCAATATCGGGTACTTAAGTGTTGTGGATATCGGCTTTCTCATATGAATCATGTCTTTGTGAAAATACATTCTATTTTTTCTGTTTTCATAAAATCCATTAAGAAAACCCTTTCATATTTACATTTATACCAAGAACACAGATGTTCCAAATTTTTTTCTTTTAATTATTATTATTACTGTCTCTCTTTCTCCCCGCCAAAATGTAACGAAAATATCAATCTATTTTTGTTTGCTTGTAAGCAGATGGTACTCAGTTGGTCATTTCTGTACTTGACTTGTCTGCTCAGGTTAAGAGCACGCTATGTTCCCTTGCAATATCTTCATTTTTTGATTGCTATGAAGATCAGATCTAAGAACAGATGTAGGTTCATTTATTTAGTCATGTATTATTATTATTATTAGTAGTAGTAAATTCACAGTGCTTAATGACTCGTCTAAATTCTGGCGCGGATTTTGCTTTACTTGAATGAGCGACCAGGTAAGCTCGACTCTATTTTGCCTGATAGAAACCAGACCAGTACAAGACTAAGAAAAGATTGAAAAAAAAAAATCTTTGTTCGTAAATGTTGTGAGAACGTTTCAGCACCAGCCTTAATAAGGTAGAGTTTATGTTATTTTTGTCAGATATTTCTATTACTGGAGATACTAATAATCTTCACACTGCTTAAAACTGACAAAATCCCGAAAAAATATTTTCATATTTTAATTGAATTCTGTCAGAATTTCTAAGATGAGCTGCTGGCAACATTCGAGGATTCCTTGATACTAAAACTTCGTCTCTGTTACTTACATTGGGCTTTCTAATAGCTTGTTTGATGTCACGCAGATAAAAATGTCAATACGTATGTATTTCAGCGACATACAGATTAAAACTGAAATTTAAGAATTCTAAAAGTTCCTCGGAAGATTGCTGAACGCGAGCAAAGTTTCAGAGCAACGGACTTTAGTTTAAAATATATCAAGGCTCCTGTTCAAATACCCTAAAATGAATTGGTTTATATCTGCATTGTATGGAAAGCAGCCTGGTCGAAAACAGGTTTCTGTCAATGATCTGAGAGACCTCTTTCTGTCTTTTGTCAGCATGGCTGATGCTAACCTCATTGGGGAGTGATTTATTGCGCCTTCTCGGACACGTCTTCTCTGCTGACATGAAGTGGAAAGATTATATCAAATCGACTGCTCGGTCTCCTGTTAGTAAAGTTGGTTTCCTGAGTAGGGCTAGATAATTATTTTCTCAAGAATCTACTTAACATATTTTATAAGTCTACAATTCTTCCATGCTTAGAATATTGTTGCTTCATACGGTCTGGTGCGCCTGCTATATATTTAGAGATTCTTCATAAAATAAAAAAAAAAATTAATTTGCAATGTCACTGGTCTTGAACTGGCATCCCGGTGTCAATCAACTTCTCCACCACCGAAATGTAGATTACCTGTGCATTTTCCATAAATATTTTCATGGTAATTGTTCTGATGAACTTTGCTCTATGATACCTAGACTTTTATGAATTTAAACTCAGTACTGGATTAGCAACAAGGTCTCATCAATTTACCATTGAATTGGCTAGAAGTAACCATACATTCTATGTTAACATTTTATTTTCTCACCCTTATCGCCTGTGGAACTCTCCTCTGGCTTCTTGTCTTGCAGCCAACTTTAAATTCAATGTCAATCGTTATCTACTGTCTTCTTGATTCCTCTGCTTTTATAGATCTCGCTCCTTAATAATGTTTTTCTTATTCTTTCACACTCTGTAACCCTTTGTGTCTTAGTGGCTTTACTGCCTTGCTTGGGGGTGCAATGATTAAAAAAAGATTGTTTTGATAAACACAATTAAGATGGGAATTCTTTTTCGCAACGGTTTATTCTCTTAGGTGGAGTCATAAATAATTTCCTTTCTGTTTATCAATTTTATGCTTTAAAAAATAAAGTACAATTAAATTTCATTTAACTATATATTCACCATTATTTGCGTTGCTATTTATCAGGCAGCGCTTCGATAACTTTTGATTAAAATTCTGCAGGTTTTGATGTGAAAATGTTTTCGTTAGATTCTTAAAAATTTTCTTCATCGAAGCGTTCTGCAGCGATCGAAAAAAAACATGTTGAAATCGGAGTAGTGCAAGGTCATGTGTATATAGCGGCTGGGATAGAGAGGACGAAACATTTCCCCTGTGTTATTCTCGCTCTATGCAGCGTTGCTTTATTATGAAAGAGATCAGAATTTTACTCATTGACGAGTAGAAGGCGCTTTTTTACCAAACCTTATGGACATGTTGCAAATATTAGACATATAAATGTGCGTGTAGAATTTTGTTTTTAGAACTCTAAATGAATATTACTCCAACGGTTCGACTGCACTCACAACTACCCTTTTTCATGGAGCTCAGCTTTTGGGGTAGCTTGGGGTAGCTTGTGGAGATTTATTCTTGTCAAGGAGGCACGGTTGTGTAATGGATAGCGGCTTGGATTGAGGAATCGGAGAGCCGAGTTCGAATTCCAGTCGAATCCATTGCTAATACCCTTGGGAAAGCTATGAATCCTCTTCTTCTCCCCTCCCCAGATATGGTTAAATAGCAAGACAGAACGGGTTCTATAGCCTTGGATGGCAACTGGTCTACCGCAGAAGGAAATGGTAACCTACTGCAGGAAAAAATCTGACAATCGGTATCTTCTGATACACGCTTAGGCGGTCATATATCACGCATGGCACATAACAGACTGAAATTCACTTTCGTGCTAATACTCCTGGGAAAGGTAGGAATCCTCTTATTCTCCCACCAGCTGTGGGTAAATAGCAGGACAGTCCGGGTTCTATAGTCTTTGATGGCAACTGGTCAAAAAGAAAAAAAAAAATCTGCCGAAAGATACATGAACGCCTAAGCATGTATCACGCATGACCCATAACTGACTGACTGATCCTTGTCAATCCACTGAACATTGTTGTATATAACCTGTTTTTCATCGCCTGTTATGATATATTTGAGGAACGGTTAGTTAGTTTGATACATTCGTCATTACAATTGGTTCCTGAAAACGGAAATTACTTCTAAGACGTAATACGAGTTAACGCCTTTTATAAAAATGACTTTTGATTTGTGATTGGTACAAAATTATTTGGGCATTATGTTACATTTTAGATCAAGAACAAGTCAATCCTGCACTTCTTACTCCAGGCAGCACCAATCTCACGAAATCAGGGAACATGATTACAATTATTTCCGAACTAAATTTAAAGTTTTTTTGAAAGCTGCGAGGAGAAAAACTTTTCCCTATCAAGCAAAGATTTAGTGATATAAATAAAGAGATCATAAGTATGTATTTTTATGTTAGACTCTTTTATGTCATGTTTAACTATGAAATCTGTAAATTATGAATCTCATTTTGTGTTTTTTGGTATTAATTCATATACTGTATCGAATATATAATTTTGTTGCACAAGTTTTAATCCAAAGTCAAGGTATGTAGTGCTCGGATTAATAATGTCCCGATATTGGCTGAGATTATTAGCTTGAGCAACTTGTAGAATAGTTATAATGATTCAACTCAGAATTTCAAACAAGATTAATAAATCTCAGAAGCGGATCTTAATTTCTTCTTTATACGTGTCCATTGTAACCGTTTCGATTCTACCACTGCTGACTGCTTCCTGTTTTACACCCCATCATGCAGATATACCCCATCATCCAGAAATACCCCATCATCCAGATATACCCCGTGATGCAGATATACCCCATCATTCAGATATACACCATCATCCAGATATACCTCGTCATCCAGATATACCCCGTCATGCAGATATATCCCATCATTCAGATATACCCCATCATCCAGATATACCTCATCATGCAGATATACCCCATCATGCAGATATATCCCATCATCCAGAAATACTTCATAATGAAGATATGCCCCATCATCCAGATATACACACACACAACGTTAGAAATAGGGGGGATAGGCAAAAAACAGTCAGGCAAGAAGACAGAGTAAGCGAGATGAAGAGAGCGCACGTGTCTGCGCGCAAGAGAGAGAGAGAGAGAGAGAGAGAGAGAGAGAAAGAAAGAGAGAAAGAGAGAGAGTGAGAAAGGCTCAGACTGACCAGAAGATTGAGATAGCGAAAGTGTGCGTGAGAAGAAATACATAAAGACATAGAAATAAACAGACAGCGACAGTGAAACACACACACACACACACACACACACACACACACACACACACACACACACACACACACAGATAGAGAGAGAGAGAGAGAGAATCAAAAGGAGAAAGAGAAGATAATTAGATCGAATATTTTTAGATATCCTATTTAAAGAAATCACTTACTAGTTCCCTATGACGTATCGAGACATCATTTTTTCACTACCAGTTTTTTTTTTAGTGATACACAAATACTAAACTGACGAGAAAAGGAGCTTAGTTTAGAAATTGTGTTGTAAACAAAGAATATGGTATTGAATCCCTTCTGTAATATTAGTTCTCCTATATGGCCGTGAATGCTCAACAATCTGCTCACAGATGAATAAGTGACTTGAAGTAACAAAAAATGTGGTTCTACAGAAGGATGCTGAGAATACCATGGGATGAAAATGTGAGTAACGACGAAGCTTTATAGAAAATGGAAACAAAAAGGATACTTATACTCAACATCAGGAAGAAACAGCTGAAATTTCTAGGGCACATAATGTGGAAAGAGGTCTTGGAAAATCTGATACTCACAGGAAAGATTGAAGGCAAAGAGGGATAGAGGAAAACAATGCATCACCTACCT